GCTGAAGACAGCCTACCTTGGGAATAATGCTGACAGGCAGGACTCGCTCATTTGCTTCCTTGAAAGTCATGGAAAACTGCGAAGGACATGGTGCCTCATGTATTTTATGTGTTTCTTCACCCAAGGTGGTTATAGCGGCAGTCCTCTACAGAGACTGACACCTTTCCACTCCTCTGATATTTAGTGAATATCTCAGAAAAAGTCCTTGGGAACAGTTTCACTTCCAAGTATGACTGTTGTGATTACTGATTACACATGGGATTTTGTGCTTATGGAACTGCAATACCAGGGCAAGGACTCATCTGTCTGAATGTTCACTGCTTTTTTTTTTTTTTTTTTAATTATTATTTTTGGTTAACCAACAACAACATTTGAAAATCGGATATTGTTCTTGTACTGTGATTTTCTTCAGGAAGTGTTGATAGACCAGTCGACACTGATCTAGTAACTAACTGTAAGTTAAAGTGCTGCTTTTAAAAGGGTTGAGAGAGATACGTTAAAGTCGTTTAGTTTTTCCTTCCTTTACCTAATAGCATTTTTTTTTTCACTGAAGGAAATACAAGTTGGCTTAAAGCCCCAGCAAGATCAGTGGAATTTTTTTTTTTTTTGCTTCATAAGGATTAAAGATATAAGTGGAGCTACAAAGTTCATTACTACTTGTATCTTTTCCTCCTTTTTAGCCTTGCTATTTATGTTGATCATGTTACTAGATAATTCTGGATGTTAGAAAGGAAATACTGAAATAGGTGGCATTTAGATTGAAATGAAGAAAAAACATACGGCAAAACAGTGGAAGAAAAGCTGCTGTGGTCCTGTCACTTGCATAGCATTGGGTCAAATAGAATGTGATATGTCTTGGGGCTATGTATTCGGAGCTTACATCTCAGTTCAGTCTGTTTTAAACAGCCAGCTCTATGAAGCTAATGGAAAACAGGATTGTATTTGCATGCAGATCCCTGGGGAATTACTGCTTAAATATTTGAGAAGTGTATGTCTGATGATATGTTCACAGATTGCCTTAAAGTAACTGTATGGGCTTTCCTTAAAATGAAAAAACTTGGGAAGTTCATATGGTAGATTAAATAAGTAATCATTATTGAAATGTTTGAACATATTATCTAACTGGTTGGACAGATTATATAAATTGTTTCTGTTTTATCGTCAGTAAGGGTAGTCTGTTAACTGTAATCTAACTTCTTTGTATTTAAATAGTACTTTCAGAATTAAAAAAACCTGAGTATGATTGATGAGGTGTTTTTACACTTCTATAACTTATTGGTTAAGATTACCACTGGTAAATTTTGTCAGTTCATAGATTTTAAGCTGAGAAAAGGCTATTATAATAATTTAGTCCAGGATCTTATATAACACAAGACATAGGACTTTGCTAAATTAATTCCTTGTTATAGTAAAGGGTTTTGTTATTTTTTTAAATTATTTTGGTGATACATAAATTGCCTGTGACGTAGAATTTATCTCAGTTCTAAGAAAATTATTTCAGTGGTAAATCACTCTTACTAAAGAAAGAAAGAAAGAAGGAAATCAAGTATTAGCTTCCTTTAATCTGAATTGCTTTGTCTAAAGTTTTGGGCTATCATCTCTTACCTTTTTCAGTTAAAAGAAATTAACCTATCCTCAGCCTGCTTTTTTTCACATGGAACCATGTGAAGAGAATGTGATCAAGTGCCCTTTAACCCTCCCTTTGATAATCTATAGACATTGAATTCCTTCAGTCCTTTGCTGTTATGTTTTCAAATCTATCATCCTCTTGTCAAGAAACCTCTATGACATTTTTTCACTAGCTTTCATGAACTGTCTGCACTAAAACTAGGCATTGCATCCTGCTGCTGTTCCAACAGTGCCGCATACAAGCATAATATATCTCCACTCGTTACTTCCAGATTGTACATTCAAGAAAGATATAAATCATTTTGATAGTGATGTAATACTATCAGAAGTTAATATAAAGATAACTATTAGCCATGCCCCCAAATCTTTTTCCATAATTTTGATTTCCAGGAAAGAGTTTTTCCTTCAATTGCCAGGGCCTGCTCCAGTGTCTGCTCTTCAAAGGAGTGCAGAAAAGCTGAAATTCAGGAAAATATTTAAAATCTGCAAAGCGTACCTCTTAATGTGACTACTTAAAATCCGTTAAATTGCTAGATAGCCTGTACTCTACCTCAGCCGGAAGCCATAGACTTGATTTAGATGAAGTTTTATGGTGTGTATTATGTAGAAGATTAGACATCATGGCTATAGTGATACTTTCTGCTATTAGTACTTCTATTCAAAACAAAAGATACTGTCTGAAAATAACAAAGTTGGGAGCAACATTTTCAGTGCTTTTATGATGTCGTTATAGATAGGCTATTTGATAAAATCATAGTGGAGACATTGTTATACTACTGCTTAAGAACAGGTATGTTTTAATTATATTTTCATCACTTTATTAAGCTTAGTTTAGCGGAATTTTGAGTCAATCAACTAGAAATGGTTCTTTCCTGGCACAATGCAAATGTTAATTCTCTTCCAAATCCCCACTGATAAGCAGTTTTTCTGAAACTGGAATTTGATTTTTTTTTTGTTCTTTTTTCTTGTTCTTTTTTAGCTTCCCAGTGAAGATACTGAAATATTTGTGAGTACCTCTCAGTGCTTATCATTGCTGGTTCAGCTGTATGGAGGGAACAGTCAGGAGAATATGTCTCCAGAAAACATGGACAGCTTTGCTCAAGTACTGAAGTCCAAAAAAGACACACAACAACTGAAGCTTTTGTTGAGAATTGTGAAGAGACTGGTGAGTCGGCTTTTAAACATTTTGAAAGTCTATGTGTTTGTTTTATATAACTGGATAATGTTTTGGCTGTTCTTTTCCTCTCAAAGTAAAAAAAAAAAAAGAGTATAAAAGAACTTTGAAAACAAAATATGTGAAGTTAAATTTCATGTCTTTGAGTTTTAGTTAGGTTCACTGGAGCAGATAGCCTTTTACACTTAAGATCTCTTGGAAAATGATTGTTGAATTTCTCCTATTTCAATTAACCATTCAGCTACTGAAATTATTCATGTTATTTATATATTTGTTCAGTGCTTCAGCTTTATGATGTGTTGGAACAATTTTCTGAATGCCTTCTGAAAGAATAACCTTGTAGCATCGAGTAGCTGTTCAGAAACACAGTGTTTGATTTCATGGTAAATAAAATGCCGTTTTGTATTTGAAATAGGTTTGTGTGTAGAATGTTGACTCCTCATTCTCACCAAGCAATAGGGACCACTTCTGCTGGAGTGGTTGTAATGCAGAATGCCAATCAGTGAGAGTCGTGCAGTGGCTTAGTCTGGTGATGTTATTGACGGGTGGGGGTTTCAGTTCTGTTGTGCTCTGACATGGTGGCATGACAGCAGTGCTGTTCCTTTCAAGTAAATGGAAAACTTTCTGTGACATTCTCTCAGATAATACTGGTTTTTATCTTTAAGTGTATTGATAAGAAGCTTTGCCTGCTTTGTCACCTTGAGTTGGTTGATTACTTCACTCCAAGAGCAGAAGTTTTCAAATAAGAGTGTTAACTTCACTAGTGTAAGAGGCAGAAGACACTTGAATTTTGCAAGTACAGTGCTGGCTATTACAGTAAGGCCATAATCAATGGCAGCAGGAGTTAAGAGGAAGCAACTCTTTTGTAGGCCTTTCAGAGTTTCCTGTCCTTTTTCCCTGCCTACTGTATGTTCTGGAAAGTAAATACCAAACCCTTATTCCTGGTTTTGCTCTTTCCTTAAGAGAAGCATGAATTTTTAAAATTGATATGGTGTTTAAAATTCATAATTTCTCTCATTGGCATCGTCTCAGGTTTCACTCCTTTATTTTCTCATGCTTTCCTCAAAAGAGAGTTCGAGCAAAGATTTTTTTTTTTTTTTTTAAAGATACTTCCTATTGATTTTTGCTTGTACCCATGCTTCTTTCTGTGTCATTGTTCTGCAATGTAGAACTGGCTTTTGCTTTCCCCCAAAAGCAATAAGAGAAAAGAGGCCACAAAGTGTGAGGAAAGGAAAGAGAAATGAGGCTGCAATATACATATCTAGATTATTTAATTTTAGCAGAGCTACAGACTCATTTCCTTTCCCTCCATTTGAAGACTATGGTTCAAAAGCTGACCTAGCATGCAGGGTATTTAACACAGAAACTTCTGTTCACTATCTTAAGAGAACAAAGCTGTTCTATTGCCTTTTGAATCTTGCAAGTTCCTGTACTTTTATATTTTATATATTTTATACATTTTATACTTTGTATACCAGTGATACTGGTACTTGTTATTTATAATATCAGGCATAGATTTTCTGTAATTATTTTAATAAGATCATAGGATTTCTTTTGAAAGCAGGGTTCATAGATAATTTGACAGATTATTTAATAAGTCTTACGTTATTTCTCTAAACCTTAAAAAGTCCTGTTCAGAGGAGATTATTATCTTGTCAAAATTGTCATAATCACAGAAGATACTGAAATATAAATCATATCTATTTAAGAAAGATTCAGCCTACATCAGCTGTTCATGCTGAAATTTGAAGCATAGGGCAGTGTTTTTCTTTTTTTAATATCAGAGCAGTATTTTAATAAAGGGATCATTAAGTGCACCAGTTTCCATTCTTGCCAGTCAGTGCTTGTACAGAGCATTATTTCAATCTATGGTTACATTCACTTCATTGTTAGTGAAACAGGTAGTGCTTACATAAGACAAAAATAAATCCTTGTGTTTATGCTATAGATGCCTTTTATAGCATGTATTTCTGGAAATAAGGAAAAGGCATAGCAGTATGACTAGTTAATCTTTGTCCAAGTGTTTTATATGACTCCAGTGAGCCAATGGAGACGAATGTCTCAATTTAGGTCTTCAGTTTAATGCATGTCAGAGAATTGTTGATGTACAAGATGACCTTACCTTGACAAAATGGAAACCTATATCTATGTGTTGTTTTAATTTAATAGTATCATTCATTAAGTTTTACGTCCAGTAGGTGGAGGGGTTTTTTGGACAAAGTTGGGGGTTTGTTTTGAGTTTGTTTTTTCTAAAATGATTGTTGTCAACTTTGAACATCAAATTGACTGCAGGACAATGTAAACTTCTTGCAACACTTTATTCACTGATTTTTGCCCTACAATTTTGTTGTATTCATTTATTAAACAGTAATAAAGATATAGGCCAGACTGGGGGGGAGGGGGAAATGTCTTTATACAGACCTATTAGTGAACAGCCATTTTTACTGGCTTTATTTTGCTGTAAAAAGAAATCATTAGGAGTGGAAACCATAAAAAATATGCTTTGAGCTAATTTTTGTAACTGTGTCAGTAAGGATCATTAAAATCCTTAAAGAGGCAGCATTGACTGTCTTTTTTTTTTTTTGTGGTGGTGTTTTTTGGTTGTGGTGGTTTTTTTTTTTTTTTATAATCACCTCTTAGCTTTCAAAACTTTTGTCTCTGTCAAGCCCAGGTTAACGAGTCTTTCAAGAATTCTCTCAGTGGCATATTTATATAATGGACAGGAATGGAATAAAATTATTGAATCAAAGAAACAGGGTTTGGTTT